GCGCTGGTACCAGCAGCTGCATCTCCTGCTGTTCTAGAACACGAGGCAGAGATCACTAGGAAATGATGGGCTAAATTAATATTCATCACAGAGACCTTCTGCAAGGCTCTGAAAATGTTTACACTGTGTAGTAAACAGTGTAGGAAAAATAAGAGTAAGGAAAGAATCAAAGTTACTAATGTTAGGGTGGGAGAAAAAGATGAGATAGAATGTGACTGGAGGCTAAGAAGCCTCTTACTTCATCTCACAAAATCATGGAAGGCTGTAGGAAATAAGAGATTAATCTAATGAAAGATGAGGGAACAGCAAAATTAAGCAGAAGGGAGAAAAGAGAAGTGTCCGTGAGAAAAACCTTAGTGATGATGTGAAAATTCATTAGTCTGAAAAGCAGGACAGCTCAGCCAAGCAGCTGAGAGGAAATGCAGGTCAAACAGCAGGCACTGCCCTTTTATGGCCTCGCGGGGAAGGGGAGGGTCTGAGTTTACTCACAGATGCTAAGCAAAAAAATGCTCCAACTCAAATACTCGTGAAATGAACCTCCACAATGTGAGTATTCACACGGACAAGCCATCAGAGCCAAACGCTGGAATTCAGTGTGAGTCCAGCTATGTAATTCCAGGTATGGTGAGGAGAATGTGAGCGGAGCATTACCACTCTCTCTGCTGTCCCTGTTTCACTTGCTACCCGTGGGCACAGAAGCGAGGGAAATTACCCTCACACAGTGACTATACACATTTTTGACCTTCTGTAAGAGGTCACAGACCCGTCATATTTAAATGAATTACAACAAAGTTCAGTATTGAGATCTTTGCAAAATATAAAATGGAACGATAATTTTTTTTTCTAGACATCCTTTTAGAATGTGAATGTATTTTTCAGCAGGCACTGGAATGTAAACGGAGTAAAAATGAACCATAAATAGAACAGCACTTTCCTAACAACGTATTGAACAAAAAATGTCTTAATTCTGTCCCTCTTTATTGAATATAAACTCTCTGTTCTGTAGAGTCACTTCTTAGGAATGTGAAAAGTTAATTTTCTTCTCTAAAAATAGAAAGTTGTGGGTTTTTTAATGAAGTTACTAAGTTGCGTTCTTTCCAGTCATCATTATAAATAGTAAAGAAAAACTTACTAGGAAGGACATCTAATCTTCTGATGATTACTTTGAAAACTACTTAAAAAGAAAAAAGTATGTTCTCGAGGCCAAATGTGTGCGAACATACGCTGTGTGCCAGTGGAAATAAGAAGATTCAGTGTGGTTTTCCGTCTCTGACTTGGTGGGGATTGCTGGGGCTCAGCTGTGCAGCACGGCACTTAGAGCAGCCTCGAGACAGCTCTGGTTTGGGCTGGCTAGAACTGTCTGAGAGTGCGAGGTCACAAAACCATCCAGGTTCATTCCTGGCCCATGCGCTCCACAGGGAGCGTGGCAGCAGGACCAGGTGGCCAGGGGCCCAAGTGCTCCGGTCCAGCGCCTGGAGTACTTAGTAGAAATGGAAGGAATATAAGAAACGTGGTGCCTTGGTTCTACATGGCTGCTCACCACGCTCTAGCAAACCTTCACACTCGGGTGTCATGAAGGCTGATATTTCTTCCTGGAAATTAGGATTTCTCCAAGCAATGTTCTTCTACCCTGGGCAATTTGGAACTTTCTTTAGATGAGCCAGTTTATTTTGTATTCCACTAGCAGATTCTCAACCTCTAAGTGTACCCGTTACACACAAATTATAATAATTGATTTTTAAGTGAATCGGTGAAGAGTTTGTTTATTGTCACATTTCCAAAAAAAATTAAAATAAGTACATAGTAATGTATCTCAATCGTACTGTTGTGGTTTGCATATTATATTGTCAGGTTTCATGTATCAAGTTTGCATATGTCAGAAAGTGATCCAGCCACTTGTTACAGACAAAGGTGTACAGCCAAGATTTTTAATAATGAATGTCAACAGTTACCCTTCTAAGCCTATATTTAGGCACCTAAATGTGACGGCTGTTTTCTGAGAGTGAAGAATGCACAGTGGTTCCATTGCAGTCGTTGGGTTTGTCAAACCTGGGCTGAAATACTATTCCCCTTCGTTCCTCTATTTTCCCACTCGTTCTAACGCTGCATTCACCGGAATTAAGGGCTGTGGATTTGTATACTCTGATGCTGGTACAAATGAGGCCACTGGCTAACCTCGGAATATCACCAGGATAAATGCATTATTAAAAAGGGATCGTGTATATCTTATCTAAATGATCTTGCTGTTGTCTTCAGGCTGGAAGGAGCAGTAATGATGCCTGCTTCAAAAATAAAAGAGATCTTATCCAATATCACTTTTCCCAACTGCACAACTGAGAGAATTGGAGAGATGTGGTGCTTGATGTTGTCCAATGATGAAAAGGTTTCTTCGTGCTTTCTCTTCTGTCTCATTTATGAACCTCCCAATCCCTTCATAATGTTCCACGATTGCATCATTGTTCTGTTCTGTTACATAGAACCAAATGAAATCATAATAAAGTTATTTTATATGTCCTTTAGAGAACAGTATACACGAATGATCCTCGAACAAGAAAACCTTGGGAAGGTAAGAATGAGGTTTTTTTACCTTGTAAAAACATTGTACAGCTCATATTTTTGTGGGGTTTCTTACTAAAGATTCTGGTCAGTCTTTTATAAAAAGCATATTGCAGCCTACAAATAAAATTCCATTACTGCTGGCATTGGTAACTAATACCCTGCAAAGAGATCACGCTCACTCTTCAGGGCTTGATTTCCTGCAGAGTATAGCATGAGCCGCTTGTAAAAGATAGTCAAACAGCTTAACGTGACAGCACATTCCCTGAAAACCATTTGGATAAGGAACTGAAACATGGGCATCACAAAGTGTGCCAGCTCAAGTTTTATGTTGTATATAAAGCAACCTGTTGAAGACAATAAATTTTGAGCCTGTCAGCCTTATCACTGTTATTAAAGGCCAGGGGATCATCAGCGCCACAGTGTTAAACAAAAGCAGTTGTCCATTTTAAATCTTGCACGAAGCTCAGATCAGCGCGGATGAGGTTCACACTAAACATCTTTCTTCTGTTAGTTTCCTTTTTATGATTCTGTGAGTGATTTGTACAGGTTTGGGCTGCCACTGTTAATAATCAGTAGCGGGTTTAATTGTAAAACATTTATTTATATTATAATAGGAATCCATTGCAGGTTGCAACTTGATACTGCAAGAGCTCTGTATGGAAATGAACTCAGATTTTTAGCATAACTTCTCCAATAGATAAGACTATTATTTAGACAGTTTTGCAGCAGTGAAATAATTGTTAATCCATACAAAGCAGATATCTGAGTCCCAGGTGTTAATGCATTTATCACTTGCAAGGAGTGTTATCGGCTTCAACAAAATAATATTTTAGCAGCATATAAAAATCTTTGTCATTCCAAGCTGCCTATGCAGGCAATTTTTGTGGCGTAGAACTGTTCCAGAAATCTTAATCTTTTTGTATTTTTGACAGAAATTACGAGAGAAGCAGAAAGTTGTACGGGAAAGTCACGGGCCAAATATGAAGCAAATTAAAATGTGGCAGGATTTGGAGCAGTTAATGGAATGTAAGAGAGAATGTTTTCTGAAACAACAGAATCAAACAGCTATTGGTCAAGTCATTCAGGAAGGAGGTAAAGATAGGCTCGTACTATGAATTCTGCCTCCTTATACCAACATGAAGTCAGAAGACAGTGTGTTGGCTTCTTAAAGGTAACTTCTTGCTATTTATTGTTGCTTTCATAATGTCTGCATAAATTTGTTGTACATTATTTGGTTTTGGTGGATAAAGAGCACAACTAAGCACTCCATGAAGCTTTTCCTCCGTGGTTCAAGTGACAACATAACGTCGTTAGGAAGATCTGTTATGAGAGCTGCACTAGGGTGAACCTCATCGTAAATCTTTGTTTTATGAGGCTGGGAATGGCATGCATCTGCAGAGAGATCAAAGGAAAAGAAATCCTTCTCCAGGGTCACAGAAAACTTACGCAATTGCTCTGCTCCTTATTCTGTATCACTAAGGTTACATTTTTGCAGGGCCTGGGAGTTGATATTGTATAATTGTGGGCCTCCTGGCTTGGCCCTCTCCTTCCCTATTGTCTTTATTCACTCAGTGTGACTGGCAAGAATGGAGCCATTTTCGCTCTGAGCTGCACAGACCTTGCCCGCACGCTCCTAGTCAGACTTTCCTTGCATGGTTGAATTAAACTTGATTGTGCTTCTAGGAGACAGTTCATCACTACAGCGTCAGGAGTATGAGTTCTGAGAACAATTACTTGAATTCTGAGATTTTTTCCATTATCTTTTGTTGTTGTTTTTAACAAATGTCTTTTTCTTGCGCGTATACCTTCTAATTTTTCTGAGTTGCCCATGTGAAAGCGTCAACTAAAAGCTTTCTCACTGAGGACATCCTGTGCTGTTGGGTGTGTGCAGTGTGGTTCCAGAGTGCTTACGCTGCCCAGAGAGGGTCACCCCAGGGACAGAGGGTTGTTGATGGATGTAAAAGTGGCACAGTGGCTCCCACATATGTTTGGATATGCAAAACAGGCAGATAGGTGAGCCTGCCGTGTGCTCTGGCTTTGACCTGTGAGCTACAGGCAACTGTCCCTGCCTTGAAAATTGCATCAAGACCCGCAGCTGACCCAGGATAAGAGGAATGTAGGTGAGGCTTGAAACTGTCCCTCACGCTTCATCATTTTGGATGAGCACCTCTTAGGCACAATCAAAGATTAGAAGCAGAGAAGACAAGTCTGTGGGACCAGAACTCTTGCTATTCTTTAATCCCTTGACATTGAATTTCTAGATAGAGTTGGGGTGGGTATTTTTTAGTTTTTTCTGCCTGAAGTAAAAAGTATTTTCAGGACATAAAAAATAATTTTGCTTTCTCTGGTACCTAACTACGAAATCTGCTGCTGCTTTCTATATCAAGAGAGAGTATGGTAATGATATAGTTCCTAGTTTGCCTTTGCATTGAATATATTGGTTAACAGAACTAAACTAAAATCTGATGACTACATTTTGACTGTATAGTATTTTTTTTTTTTTTACATTTCTTAAGAAGGTAAATTGTTAGTGAGGAGTAGCTTGCTGGGCCACAGGAAAAAGAGGTTTAGAATGGGTCATTTAATGACATTTATTTCAGATGCCTCCAAAGGGTTCAAAACTGCAGCATATGTGTAAGGAGTGGGTCTGAGATCCATAGATTCCCAGGACATCCTCCTGTAAGCCCTCCCACGCTGCCGAATAGCCAAAGATAGTCAAGTCTTTCTCAACAGCTGCACGCTAATCTTTCCCAGGACAGGGAGAAGCAGCACGTTTTCCCCTACACACATTTACAGGGAAAAACAGGTAGAGTTGGCCGGGGTGGGGAGAAGGTGCAGCTTCCCTGAGCTGAGTACTCGACCCGGGCGGGGAACAGGCCTTAGTAAGGCGCCGAAGGGAGCCGCATCCATGGGAAACGGAGACGCTCCCGACCAGGACATGCAGCCTGTAGTACAGTGTGGGCAGAGCTGCCTCCAGAGACACCTACACGTGATGTCCCTGCTGGCCCCGTGCCCTTATCACCTCACTTCACCTGCGTTGCACTGTGGGACCTCTTGAGCTGAAGAAAATTATAGGAGTCACAGGCCTGGACTTGTAAAGGAGGGTTTTGCTGAATACTTGCCAGCTATAGGAAAATAACACAGACAACTAGATAGGAGACATGCCGAAAACATGGGATAATCGCCAAAAATGGGCATTTAGGTTACTTAGGAATCAGCCTATGGTTCAGAGTCAGCAGACAGGGCAGGGAGAAAGGGAGTTTTATATACTTCAAGTCAAAACTTTTAACAAAACCCTAGAAACCCTATTTGACTAGACCATTTACGTGAAGATGTATTACATGGATTAGCCTGCTGCCCAAGAAAAAAGCAATGCTTCTGAAATTCATAGCAATGATGTAAAATAAGATTGAGTATATTTTGTTTTTCTGTTCAAAGTTACCCTAAAAATAGTTCATCTTTTTTTTCCTTGTAAAAACAGTTTATTGCTGGTTACTCAAAGATGACGTGATTGTTGTTCTGATCTGATTAGTGTTCTGTCATTTGTACTGCACCAAGAAAGGGCACACAGATTACATACCACAGCAGCAGCAAAATGACTTTCTGAGATGAAGCAGAAAATCATAATAACCGTTATGAAAAGAAAATTGGAAAAAGTCAAATGCTATTTTTAGCTTCTTATATAAATGGACATTTAATAAATGCAACCTTAATGGATTCTGTTCACTGGCTTTTTCACCTAGTTCATGATTTGACAGGAGCATTCAAAAATCTTTGCATGTCACAGTTATATTTTTACTTCCTCACTTGCAATAAAAAACTTACTTCTAATTTTTTTGCTTTGTTATTATTAATGACCTCACTGGTTAGCTAATAAATATACCATATAGAAAAATACCTGCCTTTCCCATGTGAAGGTCCAAATAAAAAATGTGTGGAGCTGAATCTGGGGCTCCAGCACTTAGCAGATTTCTTTCAGTTGGAACACTGATCCGAGCAGTCACTCACGAGCAGCAGCTTATTTTGCTTCAATAGCTTCTCCTTATCTTTACCCCACGCTAGATGAGGAAGTATTCCAGCTCTAGAACTACTCTAGGATTCTGCAGCTTTGCATTTATTTAGTCTTGTTGACTTCAGCTGTCCCGAGAGCTGCAGCAAGTTCCAGGTGGACCTGAGAGATGAGACAGTGGCTAACATCAGCAATAGGCACGAGGAAACGGTACCTCCACCAGGTTATATGGCCAGCTGTTGTACCAGCTGGATAGCAGATTATTTTGATTATATTACTGGTACCATTTTACTTCCATTTGAATTATAATAAACAAATGTTTTTAGAGTTCCTTAAGTTATCTAAATCTAGGATTACTTATTTGTATACCTTTACCTACATGGATAATACTACTAAAAGTCATATGCATATAGTTGCCCACAATCATAAAGGTTGGGCCCTGCTGCTACATTATTTATTATGTTTAAATATACTGATTTGCAGAGCTTTCTTGGTAAGGTTTTCCTGCACTGTGATGCTGCTCACTGTTACAAAACGCAACACAGCAGAAGTATTTAGCAACAGTTCAGTGCCTAGAGAATGTCTTCACAGGGAGGGTGTTGTGATTAATAAGCAGGGATAGTATCATACCCAACAAGCAGTGTGAAAGCTGTTCTCCGAGTGACTTGCCGGTTCAAGAACTGGAAATGAAGTACGGAGCTGCTTCTCCTTAGATCACTATTTCACGTCTGCCTCAGACGAGCAGCGAGGGAAAGCTCACTGCTAACTACCTGGGGTTTGTCCTCAGCAAGTGATCTATGCAGAGTGATTTGGCAGTATCAGCCTGATTCCTAAATCACCGTGCTGGCAGTGTTTGGCGAGCCTGGAGCCAGCTTCCCCGTGAAGGCAGACAGATGTACGACTGAAAGACCAGGCAGGCTGAAGTGCTGTCACCCCAAAGGTGTGCCCTCGGGAGAAGGGTCGTGACACGTTGACCCCGTGGAGTGTGAGAAGCTGTTACTCCGTCATCCTGTCAGGGGACGAGGAGAGCACTGATGCTTGCGGATCTGGTTTCTCTTGTTGGCCCTGTATTTGTTCAGACTTAAGTGAAAAAAAAATAAAGAACTCCAGCTGAACGTGTGCCCTGTGTTATCATTTGTAGCAGTAGGTTTCCTGCTGAAGGAACACTGTTAACTCTTCAGCTGCTTTTCTCTGTTGCAATTTGTAATGGAAACAGAATTGAAATTTTCACAGACACGCCAGTGTTCCAGTGAGGAAGTATTACACGAATCAACAATTTTATCACAAGGTACCACCTGTCTGGACAACACCCAATTGGGTGGTTGTTTTCTAACAATCAGAATTTGACTTATTTCCAGCTTGTTTAAAGAGTTCTTTAAATTCCCAGCGTGAATTTAAAAGGGGTTCTCCAAATTCTCAGGGTCTCTGTTTCTGCAGCGTTAGGTCTGCAGTAGCAGCCTCCAAACTCACAAGGCAATCCAGTTTAGTCCAAGGTCATTGGGTGAAAAGGGTATTTTTCACAATTGCACTACACTGATTTTCATGATTCTAGTTTACACACTGTAAGACACTGCACCGTGGTGATGTCAAACTCTGGTGCTTGAGGCGGGGAGCAAACCTATTCCAAATAATCATCAGGAACTGTGAGACAAATCATGCTGTCCTTACTTTCACAAACCCTCACTGACTTCAGTGGGAGTTTTGCCAAAATAAGGTCTGCTGGATTTAGCTCTGTATTCTTCCTCCTGACAGAACAAGCAGGAATTAAAGGGCCAGCATGAGATTTATAAGACACAGTGGAAAAAAAATAAGAACTGTAATTATCTACAGTAATGACTCTCATCCAACACAAATCAATGTTCTATTAGACACATTCAGATTTATAACAAAAATTAAATGTTTGTGGAAGTTTTCCTCAGTGCAAACAATCAAAATACACAAGTCCTTAGCAATATGGTTTGATTTTTATTATCCATGTACGAGATGCTGTCTTGCACAAATCTAGTGCTGAAGTATTTATAGTGTTTATCACTAAAATACAACTTTATGCATTATCTTGTATTTGAAGGGCTCATTTATATTTATTATTTTAGAAGTAGTATATTTTTACCTTTTTTTTTTGCATTTCCATTCCTCCTCATTTTTTAAAAAAAAGCATGTTTTTGCAAACTAGGGTATGCACAACCAGCATTTGCTGAATGCCAAGAACTAGAGTTCTTTTCCTGCAAATGGATCTCAAGCCAATGTCTATTATACTGTTTCAGCTCAGACTGTCGTTACAGAATACCGTGTCATTTTTAAGCTGCTAAATTTTGCTGCAACTGCTCAAGTTTTAAAAACACTCATTTATACAATAAGCACTTAATTAGGACTGTTTTTTTAAGTAGGATAAAACCCAGTCCTGCACACTGTGCCAGAAAAATTGCAGTTGATAAGAGTATGGAAAATGGGATCTTATTTACCAGTTTTCAAAGATAAATTCCTTTCTCTCTCCCTACTTCTTTTCCCTGGAATGGAATAGAAAATATCCCTGGCACTTAGGGAGCAACAACACCAGAACCATGAAGGCATACATCACATCCAAATAATAACCAAGTAAGGGAAATAATTAAGGAATTAATCTCACAATTTCTCCTTTGTAAGTTTTACAACTGGTTCATACTGAAGAAAACACAAAATTGTTGATTAAGATTTTCTGCCATTAAGATTTGTGGGGTTTTAATCATTTTTTAAAAACTGGACTAATGTTTTTTTTTAATAGTTGAACTTCTAGGATGATAAAATAGAAAGAATTCAGCAGTTTACTTGGTTTACGCTATTGCAGCATTTTCTGGCAGGTAAACTAATGTTTAAGCATTTCTTTGCAGTTGTCACAGAAATCTCAGAGCCATTAGTGAAGAATTACCAAAAGCAAAAAGGCATGATGCATTTGGGATTCTAAAAATTGAAAATCTAAAAATTAAAAAAAATCACATGAAAATTATGAATTTTACTTATCAACTGCTGTTTCACTGATGTTTTGCTCCAAGACTGCATTCTGTGGACTGCAGCATTCAAAAACTTTGAATAGTTTTGGGTATTTATAAAACGTTGTACCCATCTCTCTTATTCTGTGCTTTAGAGCTCCCCATGTTTTTATAGCATATTAAAAAGAAAACAGAACTCTATCAGAACATTGAAAATCACCCACAGACAACCTGTTCCACTAATATTTTACATTCATGTGGCATCTTTTGTTCTAGAGGACTTCATTTTCATTTTATGTAGGCTGATTCGACTGCTCAGGTATCTGCATGAGTGAGCCACGAAACAGTGAGAAGTCTAGTTAATGTGTCAGAGAACAGAAATGAAAATTGGGAATTTATTATTTCATGGGCAATGCCAACATCATCTCAAAATTAAGTCTCCTTAGGAAAATATATCCCACAGCTAATAACTAGAAAGCAATCTGAATTCTTCTAACAAAGAGGTGGAGCGTGTCATACTTCATAGCAGGTTGTTACTGTTGTGCTTGCTATTCCTTTTCTAATTTTATTTACTACACTGTACCTCAACCATTTGTATGTGAAATCCATCACTTTAAAATCAATATACACTGAAGGTTCTTTTCTGCTTGTTGATTTAATTGAATGAAGCGAAGGTTGATCGTAAAATACGAGAGGGAAAGAGAGAACTCATATACTGGAAAAAGCACTATAAATATTTTCCTGGGATCATTAACACAACCTTATAACACTTCGCCCTATGTAGCGGAAAGAATTATACAATCCTTTTATGAAATGTCTAAAAAGTGTTTACAATTCCATCCCAAATTAATGTGGCTTTTTTTTTTTAAATGTAAAGAAAACATCCCATAATTCTTAATTCTGTTCTCAAAAGTTATTTTCAACCTTTGAAGGGATTCACTTGCTAGTGACTTGGCAGTGTCAAGCAAATGTTCGACTTTTATTCTGACACTTCATGAAGAATTTGATTGAAACTATATATGTCAAGATAACACCCAACAAAGTGCTCCTCTTGCGTTTGTTTCAAGATATTTTTGGAAACAACAGAGGCGACCTTGGATGGAGCTGCTTTTCCAATTTAGGACTTCATTTGGTCTAAGAGAGTAAAATCATACTCTAATCCTTTTGTGTACCCACAAATAAGACAGCTTTATTTTATGCTATTGTAGAATTGTTTTTCTGTACCTTCTTTGCAGTGTCGATCTGTTTAGGATAAGCATTATTTTAGATAATTGACAGTTCCTTTCAAATGTACATATAAATAGTCCTCCCATGTAGCACATATCCCTTCAAAATATTGTGTAATCTAAACAAACAGTGGTCCTTTATGTAATGCCTTTGGTCCTTCAGAACTAGTGTTAATAAATAAGCGTTAGCCTTTGTCTTTGCTTATGGACATGAAGAATCTGATTTCAAGCCAGAGCTCACACAGACGATGTAAAGTCTAAATGAGGAGAGTGGTAATGCTGGTGAATGCTCTGTGATGGGACTGCCACCTGTCCCGATCCCAGGAGAAATATTGTTTGTCAAGCTTCAAGTTTAAAAGCCAAGGGTAGGAGCCAGGTTCTCTGTACATCTAGAGTGGGGTGATTGTTTTCTTGTGGCTTTGGTTTGCCAGCTGTGCAATTGTATCTGTAAAATTTTATTACATCTAATCACTTAAGATGTTTTAAATAGTTTGCACTTCATTTGCAATACAATCGATATATTTTAATTCATTTGTATTACTCTCTGCTGTAGGCGCACTGCACTCGGTACCAAAATGGAATTAGTTTGTTGCAATGATAATGCAATTTTGCTGCTGTGAATAAAACCAGAATTGACAGAGTACGGTATTCTTGTAATTTATCCTGTACAGTATTTACTCTTTTCAGTAATAATGTTGTCCAGTGTTACTGAATGATCAGATACAAAGTATAATATGGAAACTAAATCTAGACATGCCAGTGGAATCTATCTGACATAAGCGATATATGCAAATGCAGATGTAAATATACTACTTGGGAGGATATTGTTAATATTCATTTGATCACACTTAGTGTCAATGTATATTTTTGTAGCTCTATGACATACTTACTGTGACTGATGGCTCAAGTTCTAACTCTAGAATATCCAGTTTGGTGATTGTATGGCCTTGTCATGCAAAGTAACTGTGGACAGCTGAAGAGAAGCAAATCTTAAGTGATCCTGTGAACCTGTATGTGCGTGAGCGTGACTGTGTTAGCATATGCACAAAGCAGGGTGAAATAAACTATTTGGTATAGCAACTTTCATCACAGAATCTCAAAACAATTTAACAAAAACCTCTGAGTAAAGTCTATACAGCCAGATAAAAGTTGCTGCTATTGACATTATTTTCTAGATGAACAAACCACAACATGGAACGAAATAGAAGCAAAACTGGGAATCTAGTCCTTGTCCCTGGGCTGTGGTCTCAGGCTGTGCCCAGAATTCCCAACCTGTTCTCCCTGAGAAACCTCCCGAGTCTTGTCCTGAGCGTGGCTGTTCAGACCCCCCAACCCTCATCCTAGCCCGAGGTTTGGTTTATTTTAACATAAAGGAATGATATAGCAAACGTCACAGCATTTCCCAGGGCAGTAGTCAGTGTCCTAGCTTTGACTATCCTCAGCTGACCCCTGCACTCCCTAAAAGTAATTCAGAAGTAAAATCTCTGTACACTTGCAATGTGATAATTCATTGAAATGTGTAACGGAAAAGTCCTAACAGATACAGATAAACAAATACGATGCAGACAAATGTAAAGCCGTTTCCTGAAGGAGTTTTTAATTAAATTGTAACAAGGAAATTCAGACATGAAAAGCATCACAACTACCTTCATTGAGCTAATGGAGTCAACAAAACTAAACGCGAGGTTTTCTCTTACCCTGAGATCTTTTTATAATCCCAGAGAGAGAAATATCAGGAGAAACAGTCTGAAATAGAAACATTCTCTGTGTGCATGTGCACGCATGCATGCAAACGAAGATTAGGTCTCTCAGTTCTCTCAGTTATAAACCTGGGGCAACTTGTTATTTGTGTGCCGCCTCTGTGTACATTTTCAGCTTTTTACAAGTGTCTGTGCCGTAGCTGAAACACTTTGATTATATAACCTAGCACAGAAATAACAGGAAATTTTCTTTTTTTTTAAACATCTAGAGGAAATGAAGAGATTTTGAATATTATTCAATGTTTTCTTCCAAAAAAATGTAAAGATGCATGCATGTGAAAGCACTACCAGAGGAAAACGGGCTGGGTTAGGACATGGGAAGCCACGAGAGAGTTTGTGCTGCTGGTTTATTGCCCCAGGCAGCTCCGGACAGAGCCGCTGCTTCTGCTCGGCTGATCTACTCCTCAGTGTACTGGTACAGAACTAGTTGGAATTAGACATCAAACAGAAAGCTAGATTTATCACTGGAGCACTAAATTCTGCTTTTTTATGTGCGAACAAATCCAGGGTAACCTCAGTTAATGAATAACCCAGTCAGTGGTGATAGCTCCTGTTTAGTCTGATAAATTTGGCCTTAAACAAAACCTGAACTTACATGCATATACCACAGGGGAGTAAAAGCATTTAGTCCAAGAAAAATTTCAGTCTCAACCGAACAAAAAAATCAAATGTTCATATTATTTCTGAAAAATCATGTTTAAAAAAACAACTTAATGCAAAGTTAATTTTTTCAAAAGAAAACGTACTTTTTGAAAAAATAAAAGGTTCTTTAGTCAATACAAAAAAATAAAACCAACTCGAATAGCTTTGATGGAAATGTTCTCCTTACTTACAAGATGTACAGCCTGTTACTGTGTTGTTCCATTAGAATCAGATGAACTCTTCACAGCAGGCTCAGTTTATAGCATTATATTCTCCAAGGAGAGGCATGGATACCAGAGTTTCATAATAAGGGAATTTTTCTTTGATACAGCAGCTGAATCAGAGCCCATTTTACCTGCAAATACATAGTGCTGGTGCAATTTATCTTTGAAACAATCCATATGGGTACATCCAGTTTTTATAAAAGGGCATTCAACAAATAGAGTGGTTTGCAATGTTATCGATTCACTGATGCATAAATATTGAATATCTAAACACATCATTAGCTAATTAAATTTGGGGTGATTATTGGCCGGAGATGAAGCACAGAGTAAATAAGCCTGGATTAAGCCTGCCCTCTTACTGCACATGCTATGGTTGCTCCCTGAATAGAATGAGGATGTAGGTTTCCAGGAGATTAAATCCAGCAATAATTTGCACCTGGAATCTAAAAGAAGGCCAAAGAACATTAGATGGAGCTTCTTAAATTGCAGAGTGCTGCATAGGCTGTATGGAGCTTAAGCCAAAGCTTCTTCAAAACCAAAATATCTCCAGTAAATTCATAGTGAGAATTCTGCTTTTAAATGAAATGATTACTTGGTATATACTAATTCATTCTGTAAACCAAAACTCACAAAACGCTGTTTCAAAAGAGAAACCTCATATACATGAACTCCACACACTCACTCCTGCTGTTACACCAGAGCCAGCAGTAATCCCAGCCAACCTGCCCGAAGCAGAGCCATCAGAAAACACCTTCTACATAAAATATTTTATTTTCCCATAGGACTGCTGTTTCATAGCCACCACTGCACTAATGGGGGAAAAAAAAAAAAAATCAGTCCCCACACCCATGTTCCTCCAGTTGTAACCACCTTGTGCTTTGTCAGCAAACTGCCTGGATGACTGACCGCGTGTTACGAGTTTTGGAGACCTGACCCATCTAAAACCCCTTTTTCAAGGCTTGTTTGCAGCCACATATTGTCGACACACAAGTCCACAAACGCAGTATGCAGGCTATAATTTTTAAAAAATGAATTATTATTTTAAGTGCTGTCAACAAGCTAAAGGGTCTACACGAAGGTGAGTGAGCTAGTGAAAGAACGTGCAAGAAGCTGGGTCATGGGCAGAGCACACTCACTCCCACTTCCAGTGCCTGTGGAGCAAAACTGCAAAGAAAAGCCAGACTGCCTTGATATAAAGCCTATGAAAGACAGCAGCTTTGCATTCAACAGAATTCTGGGCCAGGTGATTTAAAAAAATCCATGTTAGCATATTTATTGATGTGCTACACTAGCATACAATGATAGACGTTACTGCATGCTTAGGAAAAACCAACTGGTAGCCTGGTGGAACTTCTCTGCTCTGTGGTACCATCGTCTAAACCAGCTTGCAGTTATTGTGAAAATATTTTCAGCTGTATTGGCACAACTCTCTGTGGGGCTGCATGGTCAGGCTTATCACAGCCTCTGGGTGAAAGATGATTGTTAACTCATTACTCACTTTATAGACACAAATAACTGTAAAAGCACAACCAAAGGGGTAGAGAGCAGCAGGCATGGAGAAGGGAGCAAGTGGGCAGGGACACAGAGAACCAGGGTCTGGAGCTTTCCTAAACTGTCTTTGCTGTCAAAGAAAACGTTTTGTAGAACTGCACCTATGTCTGCAGTTCCTAGTGTTCTCAATGTGCTTCAGCGATCAGCTCAAGACAGTCTGAAGACAAATTAGAAAAATAACAACTGCTTTATTAAAAAGCTCATAAGCAAAGGTGAAATCTCGCCTTCATCAAAACCTGCTCCCCTAAGGGGATGTTGAGTGATCACAGAGTTAAATAACAGAAAAACAAGACAGAAACTTTTTATCATCTAAGAAGTGCTTACCAGGCGATCAGCATTGGAAGGCAGGAAATTAATCCTCGTAGCTTCTGATTTGCTTTGTCAGAGGTGTCCTGCTCCTCTCCTTTGTGTGATTCTCAAAAAATGAAATACAAAGATGCAGAATGATCACCCGGGCTTTCGATTTTGAAGGAATGCTTTTCCCTCCATAAACTCATTATCCTCCCCTCACAGAGCGTATGCATCTATGAAACTAGAACATAAAGTTCTGGGAATCTGTCTGCTTGCAGGATGGTATAAATGAGCCTAAGTCACTTTCCTGATGTAATGTCTTGGACAGATCCCTTTCGATTTCCTGAACAACCACAGAGAAAACAGACTGCCCTAATTAGTGTACCCCATCATTTACATTAAGCCTTCTGGTTGTAAGGCAGGACTTAATGAGTTTTCCTGAGTGCAACATTAATGCCCAGACACATTGTACATGTTCTGTAAGGCTGATAGCTAATATGAGGTAAAATACAACAATAGGGAGATTATTAAAATGGTTATGTAAGAAACAGTGGAAAACTCCAAAATACTGGAATCTAGTTACGGGTTATTATGTAATTCAAGTAGGCAGTATTTTTCAGTCTCTTAAGCAATGAAAATTTAAGATATGTAATAAACCCTACATCATCGTGCATCTGGTTTATGGTCAGTTTAAGATACGAGTGCATGACTGATAACGCACTGTGGCAGCCTGGTTTGGATAGATGCCTTTGCAAAAAATCAGAGAGAGACATTGCAAAGGAAACATTTGTCACAGTATTTTTCCCCAGCAAATGTTTTCATCCTGAACTTTGTTAAAAATATACATAACTAATACAAATGTAATAAGAGCATACATAACTGCTAACAGCAATTCATGTGATATCATGAAGAGCTGCATGAATAAAAAAGTCTTACAAGATCAAGATGTCTCCTCATAGGAAATGCTAGAGTCTCCTTATGATTAATAGCATGGCAGTTATTAGGGGAATGATTCACTGATGCTGTAACTCCTGTGAACTGAATGAACTAACCTCTTTTGAGTCACACAAGTCACACCTAGCTAGGAGAAAAGAGTCTGACCCAAATAATCCATAATTAGATCATCAGCTGCTAACACTATTGATCTCCTGAGATTTGGGGTGGCCTAAGCTGCCATCATTCTCCAGCTGCAACTCAGAGAGCAGATTTCATTCTTGAAAGAAAAATTTTTAAAGGACATGTGGAATACTAAATAAATGACGCTGGATATCCACCTTCGTGGAATTATCTTAGTTGCTCTTAATATGTAACAAGAAATCAGATTCTGACTTTGTCAAGCAGAACAGCAATTGTAGTACTGCTCATATAACTGGGGGTCTGCTTGCTGATTTTTATTGTACTTTGCAGGAAAATTCAGGTGCTGTTCAAATAGATTTAAGTTCTTAATAACAGGTTCAATCTGCCAAAAGTTCAGCTGCAAAGATGTTCTTCACACAAATCTATTTTTAGAAAGTAGAAAACCTGAAGTTTTGAAACAATGGAAATCAATACTGAAGTTATAAAAGAATGAATTTCCATCATATTCTCACCTATTGGGTATTTAATATCTATTGCCTTTTAAGAACATGATATTCTTGGGTAATTCAAATTGGTACACTCTGTTTCTAGTGCTACTTTTCCAGTGGTCAGTATGTAAATGTAGCGGGTTACCGATGGCTTTGAAATTTCACGTGATATCTCTAACAGTAGAGATATTTCAATTTTAGTAGCTTATGATGCAATTAAACTGTTATGTGCAAAAGTTTTAATTTTATTTAGAACCTTATTCACAGCACAGTCTGTGATTATTAACTCTATTTGAAAAAGAAAACATTGTTGGTATCAGGTACAAATAAAACTAATTCCTTTCCAAAAACATCAATATTAAATCAAGCACAAACATACTGAGGCACACAGGAACCTTCAGAAAGATCAGAAGGCCCTCACACTAACTGCAGTGTTTTTTTCCTCATTTCTATGGCATATGTTGTATCAGAAATCACAGTTAAAAGAAATTTCATGCTCAAAATTGAAATCTTTTCTCACATTTAACTCAGCCAAAATTCCTGTGATGGCAGAATTAAATTTGGGCTTGTTCTCAAATGGTAAGGAAGTTACAATATGGAACAATTACCATTTTTTTTATTCCTAACTACAAAGACTGTTACTTTCTCTGAACATTTTTAATCATCTTAAAGAGTCATCAGTAGCTGTCAAATAAGTCCATTGTCTCTGCCCAGAATTTCTTAGGAATTTTTTTTAGAGGAACTTGCATATGTACTGATCTAGAAGAAATCATTAATCCTTTTTTGTAAAATGCAATGAGTATAGCAGATGGGAAGTGACATTCACTTACAAAAACTTAGATGTAAGCAACTTCTTAACCTCAGCTGAGACTCTCTTTTTCCCAGCACAGATAGAAAGGTGGACTGCTACCTTAGGGCTAGATCAGGCACCACATCCAAAAATTAAATTCCAGCCTGGTCAGACTCAGACTGGGGAGAGAACAATTTCAGTGATTTCAAAGTCTTTGTCTTCTGCCAATATTTTAATTTTCTTGCAGTAAAAATATCCCTAGAGGAAAAGATCTCACTGCATGTAACTTTTTTTCTGTTGAGTCATTTGGCTTGTTTATGTATCCTATGTAGAGGTGTAGTTTTACAAAATGCCTTCTACATGCAGGAAGAACTCCTCTCTAAACAGATTCTCTACCTGAGCATCAGGGAAAGAAATGAATCTGTAGCTGATGACATTTCAAGGGCAAGGAAAACAACTGTTCAGGGGAGAATTGTCTGATTTGGTTCGTGTTTATTTTTACTTATATCTAGCAATCTGCTCTCCAACAGAAGACGCTTATTTGCAGAAGAGAAGCCTGTCTCCTTTTTGGACTGATGCCCGATCTGGAGAAAAGGTGCCACTAAGGACAAGAGGTATGTCTTAAGCATGTATTGGCTAATGAAATAGGTGCCTAGTGTTGTAACAGCAATTGTATGTGTCATATATGTTAACTACCTAAGGCTAAATTCTTCATGTCTTCCCATCACGCTTCTTATCCACTAGCTAACATCATCTAAATCTGCCTTCCACTCAGGAGTACACATTCCAAAGTAAAATATTCCACATGTGGAATTTTAGAATTAATTATTCCCAAATAACTTGTGTAGAGAAGCTCAAGGGTACAGCTCAGTTAATGTATTTTACACACACTTACTGCCAAGTTAGAGGGCTTTACAACTTCACAAGAATTTTTTTCCTTTCAGGAACTGTTTGGAGAAACTTTTCCAATTGTAGTATCCTGTAATGAATATCTGAATAACTCCAGGTTGCAAACTGAAGTAAAACAGATTGTAGCAGACTGGTGAATAGGTTAAGAAGCAGAAAAGACATGTTTCTTTTTGCCGCAACTGAATCGTGAAGAAAAATGCAAAAGAGAAAAATCAACTTCCATCTGCTTAAGGCTCAACCCTTATTTTTAGGTTATTTCTACCGTAGTGATTTTGTCTTGCAAACTCTTTCATGTAAGACATGAAATAATGTCGAGTTACTGGTGTGCCAGCTATGGTATCCAGTAGTTACTGAATATAAACCCAAGTGTTTGCGTTCTCCAAGTCTTTGCCTCAGGAATATCTTTAAACATAATAGTCTCTGCCTGTTGGCTTGCCTTCTCATGGGGAGGGTGACAGAACATTTTGTGTTCTCTTATCTTCAATAGCAATGAAACAGGAGGAGCTCCACAATGCGAAACCAAATCTACTGCTATTAATACAACATCCCAGCCACAGAGAAGAGATTTGTTTATTTACCAAAGCTAGAGATGCCTCTCTGACCTTTCCAGAGCTTGTGTGCTTTAGCTGGGAATAGATTCCTCAGAACTGGGTGCTCTTTTTAAAAATATACAGTAAAAAACATACACACACACCCCCGAAACAGAGCCCAGGCTGTATCCCAAATTGCATGAAATGACACACAGCTTTGAATAGTTAGAATAAGTCTAACTAGGGCACAGTCCATATTCAGTTTTGATTACTTTACTAGTGCACAGAGATCAGTCAGCTTTCCAAAGCCCACTCGCCTTTCTTACTGCCACTCAGTGACACATTTAGCTGACTATAACCATACATGGGCCCACTTTCTGTCTGAGGCCTAACATCTCTCTGCAGCCTAAGAAACCTGTCAGTATAGATTTTTTTTTCTTCCTTGCATAATTAAAAGGAGCTTCAGACTGTAAGATATTTGGTTTAAAAAAAAGAAAAAAATCAACAAAGAGATTGTCTTCTTCTGGAACTCACCCTGCTTTACCTGTGCTTTAAACCAGTGAAAATCATTACATACACAAATCAAAGTTTGTTTAACTCTATTTTTCAGTGGTAATCACTCAACAATATATAAAAGGAAAACAATAGTTATGCCAGCTCCTCCTCCAACTACAACAGAAGGCAGCACACAGTCTTAGGAAGACCCAGTCTTATCTGACAGCTGTCAGATAAACTCTGAGCATGCTTGCTTAACTGAGCCCTCCGAAGACCAAGGCTATAGCTGGTATTCTAAAATCCCAGTCTGGGTTTAAGGCACTACAGCTGGTTCCCTGCTCTTGCTGTCCCTGCCCCTGTGCAGCTGTGTCACCCCTCAGTCATGGTGGCACCAGTGCTCTCGCAGCAGAATCACAAGCCACATCACAGAGCTCTTCACCTGAAAAGTAATGCAAGGAAAAAAGTTCAGCCAGTCTTGTCCAGCATTCAGTTCACAGTGTGACTGATCTGACTGTGAGCTGTACTGGTAATACTGCTTGTAGGGCTGAACACTGAACCTACCTGGTTAAAATCAGCTTTTTCTTCCCTGGATAACTTTCCAGTGCCTGTACCAATACAATGAGGGAGGATACAGGGATGGAGACTGGCAGCAAAGTGTAAGGTGGGAGCGTGACTTCTTTTGGCAAAAGTAACAGATTTGGGGCAGCTTCAGTTGTTATTTGAAGTATATGTTATGTCAAAGTTTTGTTTTGATTATCATATTACTTATTGTTTCCTAGACTTTACATACAGGGTCCTGTGGTTTGACAATGCCAGTCACCTGTAGAATTAGAAATAAAAGCCAAGAGTCTAAAATAACTGTAATTTCTCTATAACCATTGGACAATATTATCTATAAATAAAATGTTCAAAATATTATTCTCAACCATATAGCAGCTTGGAAGGCCAAAAAAATGTCTTTCATTACTCTAGAAACTACTTCACACCTTTGAAGGAATTGGTTTAGCAGTGATGCATCCCCTCATGCTCTGACCAACTTCACACTTCATTTTTTATCGAAATCTAAGTAACAGGCTTTGGGGACCTTGTCTGTATTCCTTCCTACTCAAGTCTGTTCCCATCTGCCTGCTCCCCTCAGTGACTTTAGAATACTTCTTTTGTGTTACCAGAACTACTGCTGCTTCCCAGTCAAACTTCCCACACTGGTCTCTAAAACTGCACTCCCTACTTTTGCATGTTCAGTTTCTGTATCTGCAAGTGCATGAATAAGTGCTTGTTTTTATGCACAGAATTTACTATGACCATTTTTACAATTTGTGTTAGGGCGGACAACTCTGTACACATAGAGAAGCTCTGTCTCCATGGAAAACTGCCAAAAAGCATCTGATCCCGGTAATTAGGGGAAGGTTTTGTGAGGAACCTGTGGAAAGAGGTCCCCCACCCCGCCTGATCTGCAGCTGGGGTTTCTCCCTGGCAGTTGAGACTGGTGATGTGAGAGGTTAGCTGAAAGTAGGAGCAGATTCCTGTGGGGCTTCACCAGACAAATTCCGATCGAGCAAAAGGTTGCTACAGCAACTCTGAGCCTCCCGAGATACAGAAATTATTGTAATGGCTGCTGAAATGCCTCCCTACTGCTCTGAGACAGGATAAGGAAAATCCTTCCCTTTGATACAGAACAGTTGCCCACTGCCACACTTTTTCCATCAGCTCTACACAAGCACCAGGTTTCCTGAACTTGCTCAGGAACTGATGGCTGCCTTTCCTTCCAAAACAAGATGCAGTTTCTCATTTGCATGTAATGCAAACATTGAAATAATAAACCTAAACACCACACAACAAGAACTATAGTTCCAACACTTTTTTCCCATGGAGACAGCAAGAGAAAAAAACAAATCATATGACAAAAGTTAATATACTGCTGAGTGGGCTGAACAGAATATAGAAACCTGTACAAAGCCAAAATATCTATTTTCCAGACTAGAGTTTGTGGTTTTCAAAAACCACATAGATACAAAAAACCATAAACAAAGCAAAAGGGGACAAAACCCCTCATAGCTTCTCAATGACTGTCCAGTAGTTTTTTGGCTGCCTCCAGCCTGCGCATGTTTTCCTCTGGCATCTGGCCCACTCACAGTTCGTTCAGTCCACTGGACTACGTAATAAATACCAGACAGAGATGATGCTTTAGACAGAACGGGAACACTTGTGACCTAAACAGGTCCTGAATCTAGAATGGGGTGGACTGAGGATAATCACGGCACAGAAACAGCAAGTATCAGTGTACACCAGAAGTGGATAATCTCTCTCAAAATTACTGTTTCCCTCCTTTTCACTTTTCAGCCACCCAGTTTGCTATTGAAGCCACAGATGAAAACAGTAGAATCAATTGTCTGAAGTAGTACCTGTGCTTACCTGAAATAACTGGATGGCTTTTAAAATTATTTCTTTAAAAAAGAAGTCACAACTTTTGCACAGCTACTCAATTTAAACCTGAGCATTGCATTTTGGCCACAACAAAAAAGGATCAAATTCCTCTGGGTATGAATCCAGCAAAATCGATAGTTACCTCCTGGCTGAATTTGGCCCAACATGCCTAGAACATCCTTTGGGATTGTTCAATTCCAAGTATTGCACTAATTCAATCTCCCACAGTTGCCAAATGCTGTAATGTTCAGTGTCGGCATGCGGCATTTTAGATTTTTTGACACAAGCTTGGTCTTTTGTTAATAGAGTATTTCATTGGTTTCTTACTTTTTGCCAGGGCTATGAGCTTTTGGATTAACTCTGAAAACCTTGAGAACAAACTATGCTTTCAGCAAGTCAAAATAGCTTGCTCAAGTCAGAAAATTTTTGTTTTTCTTCCCTCAGTTTTGTGTCGACTGTGAAGATGATTCTCAGAGATCAAGAAAAGCATATAATGTTTAAAACAAAACATTCGTTAACTAAGGATTTCCTGGATTTTTCTGCTTTCTTATTTATACTGTGTCCTGGACCTTGTGAAATCATTGTTTAACTTCCAGTATTATTTATGGAAGCCAGCCTGTTGCTGTTTCCAGATCTTACAGAGAACTTTCAGTTTGCAGTTTCAGTACCAGGTGCATAGTCCTGGCTTAAATTAATCAATTAAAAAGTAACATACAGTAAGAACTTTCCCCTCTCATACTCTGAATCTTCACAGGTAGGATTTTTCTGCCTCTAAGCTATCTCATTAGGGTGAGGTTCCTGAGTCCTGAAAGCTCCTCTTCTGCGACAGGTTGGGACTGCACAGCCTTTTCAGTGCAGCAGAGGTGAATACGAGTTTTGGAGCATTTCTGTTGCGCACAAAGAGAGATCTGAAATATGAGCCTCTCAGTTATCAATACGAAAGACTAACTGCCTAAGCATGGAAATAGATTTTAGGAAATGAATAATTTGTATGAGGCTTTGCATGCTGCTGCTATTGATCACAACTCTTCAATCCATGATAGAAAGAAGTAGACAAAGAATAATGATTTAGCACACTGTGTCCAACTTCTGTGCTGTCGGTGTGACTACTCTGACTTACAACCATGGTGAAAAAAACAGCTTCAAGTGTAACCCTCCTCAGCATATGGGCCCTGGATTTGCATGCTGTAGCATTACGCACTCCCATTCACAGCTGCATAAACTAAGTGCAAAGTAGTTTTAAAACGTCAGCAAATGAGAAACCAATGTTTTACATTCATTTAGCATGAATAGAAATGACCATGTGTACGGTACAAGGCAGTACAGAATCGGGGTGATGAAGTTTCTGTGCCTGCTGTCTAAGCAAGGCTATTAATGGTTGCACAACACAGAGCATTAATGAAAATGAGAGAGAGAGCAATAAGTAACTTATTTAAAACTGTTCACAAGCTCTCTTACCTTACAGTCCTCTTGTCTGACACCTATAGCTTTATGTCACGTGACAGACATGGATTCATTGCTCAGACTTCAACATCACACCAACATCAGCTGTAGCTGCTCAGGAGTCTCCTAGGATGACAGATAAAGGTTACAATCTGATGATAACCCATCTGGATGTTAGTAGGATGGAAAATGCTTTTTTGAAAACCTGGGGAAATACATCCCAAAAGTCTTTATTTAAAAGAGAAAGTATTAAGACTGCCAAATCAAGCACGCACCGAAATGAGAAAATTTCAAGATTAGATAAAGAAGCCAGGAAGCATGTAATTAAAGATTACTTTAGGGCATATACATGGAAAGGCAACCTTTATTCTGGCATTTTCTAACTTCAGTGTGCTTGCAAATTATTCATATTTTGGCAAAGATTTTGTATATGTAAAATGTATATATTATATATAGAACTGAATTAATCTCCGATACATTTTTGCCTCATAAATACAGTTTCCTGTTTCCATGCTAGAATCTACAGCATTAACATATTCAGATGCCAGTTACTGGATTTATTCACTTCTTGATAATCCAAAGGCTGAGCCTGGACGTGCTAAGTCTCTTCAAATTTCAGTCTTATCTAGCATTTTTTCTAAGCCACACAGATAAATTATTTCAATGTCCTGAGGTAAAGTGATTCTCTTGTCCAGGGCCTCTGAATTGCTCCAATATTATTTTTTTGTGCTTCATCTGTCATACATTTATGAGCTCAATTAAAACTGATGAACAGAATTTTTTTTCTCTATTTCATTAATTCAATTTTTCAAAAACATATAACGCTGAAACAAGAATTTTTAAACAAAAGAAGTAGCTTTAAAAACACTGCTTTAAGAAGAGTGTGGCCAGTTTATATCAGTGTGCAACAACTCCCATAAAGAAAGACCAACACAGTGAATCTGAAAATAATCTTCACGCAGAATTAGAAAAGTGGAAGAAAGGCTGGAGAGGGAGACACACTAATTCATCTTCTTGTAAATTATATAAGAATGTAACATATTCATAGGCACTTGAACAGATTATTTTGTTCTGCAGAAGAAAGCAAAAAAAAAATTCCTATAAAGTTTTTCCTGTAAATTTTTGAAAAATCATTTGAGTTAATAAATTATAAAAGAAAAACATATTTAACTTTTATTGCATTCAAATTTTGAGTTTGCACACGGTTCATTTTCATTCATGTCCTTTTTCTGTCATATAAATGTTCTGCACAAGCAGCGAAACTGCTCTTGGTTGCTCTGTAACTGCTCAGTATCTCAAAGCCCTTTAAGTGGAAGTAAGTTTCTCTGAGTATTACGCAAATACTCCAGAGCCATTTAATTCAGTCAAAACTGAGGCACACAGAGTCAGGCATTGAAGCTTCTGTTAAATCTGAGAGCAGAGCACAGAACCTTCAGTATTCCATCTGCACACACATTCCTCAGCCTTCTTCCTTCTTTCCTGCGTATGTACACTGACAGGGAAAAAAAAAAAAAAAAAGGCAGGCACTTCACTAAGCATCCCATGCTTAGAGAACTGATGAGTCCACGGACCACAGAAACCCTGTATTCAAGATGCCAAGAACACTAAACCTGTTAGAATCAGGAAATCCTGGTTTGCCTCCATTGAGAGGTTAGTGAAAGATAATTGTGTACGTTTGCTGCTTGTTACTCAAATATAACTTCCTTACAACAATACACATTACTTCATCTCCAAAGGTCAACGAATTACTCTTTAGTTCCTTCCAAATGCCTGCACAGTGAACTTTGCCATTTTTAATACACATTTCTCGGCAAAGAACTGGTGGTACAGGTTTGAGGCTTAGAATTCTCAACCTGGAAACACCTTTCACTGCAATGTATTTCTAACACTACCCATGCAGCTTTGTAACTGTCAGGCCCAAGCAGAGACTTCTCCCTGTAGTGTTCATCCACAGTTTGCACAGAACCTAGTGCAAGCTAAGCACGTAAGGAGTTCAACTATCAATTTTCTGGAATCCCCTTGCAGTACAAATGATTAGCCAATGTATTGAACCTGAAACACAAACGCAAAGAATCGGATTTAGGAAAACTGAGATGTGCTGTCATCTGAAGTGTGACCATGGTTAACAGCAGTTCGGATGAGTAACTTACTGTGTGTTGGCAATTGCCTCGCTTAAAAAAAAAAAAAAAAGAGGACCTAAGGTGGAAATATTGCAAGTCAACAGCTTGTCAAAGCTGCATATATGCACAGAGAATGGTATGAATGAACACAGCCCTAATCTTGCGAGTTAAACTACACAGCTGCTGACTCCCCTTTTCATCCATGTGGTGCCCACTGAAACCAGGCATGTTTGTATGGATACTAAACGCAGCCTACAGGTTTGGGGGCTATATTCTGAACCAGTGTGGATAGTTTGAATAGCACTAGAAATCTCCATGCAGAACCAGGACAGCAGGGTTTAACTTAGCAGGTAGTGGAATGCACAAGCACAGCACAGAGACAAGACTGGGGAATTAGGCTGCTGGCAAGTAGCAGCTGAAAGCTGATTGAATACAACAGATTGGGCTTTCATACTGGACAGATAGGCAGCAGCTATTTAAATGAAGTATTAACAATTTTGCTCTTAATTATTTCCAAACCTTCCTGCTAATACAGACTCAGTATGACATGTATTTTGGCCTCAGTTAATTATTTGCTCTTTCTGTATGAATCCACTTAAAAGAAAGCTGAATGGTTTGTTGAGAATTTCTGCCTATTTAAAATCATTCTTTTAAGTGCTTGGCTTCTTTCTTCAAACAGCTGTCATGGAAGCAACTGAATATATATACCTCACAAAAACGTTCACTTTGTGGAATTTCTTTCTGAAATGACACTGCCCCACAAGCCAACAAATGGTCATCATTCTGGCCCAGTGGCAGGTGGGAGGCCATGAAACTCCAGTGCTAAAAGTGGAAACTTTATGCCTTCAGAAAAGGGAGACTGCTATCTTGTCAGTTTTGGTCTGGGAGGATCTGAGATTGTGGCATTTCTATGTATAGAACAGCTTTTTCTAGAATTTTCTGAAAGTACATTACTTACAAGTTTTATTTCAGATACTTACATAGTTAGTCATGGGAAAGCCACAACAGCTGGTTTACACCTCAAAGAATAAACAATTACTAATAAAAATGTCAAACCTCTCCCAAACGTCTCTGAAATAAGAGAATGACCTTCCAAAATATGTTTCAGCAGACTGTTTTAATGCAGCTGCTTCCAAAAGCGAGCCCCTGAGCTTTGTTTTCATATCTGTATTTTCTATATATCCTTCCTGACACTCTCTTGTACCTGGGATCTCTCATCAATACTAATCCAACATGGATCCAGGGTAGACACACAATAGCACTTGTGACAAATAGGACAGAATGTACTATATGACATTTATTCAGCTTGTGAGAGGACAGACGCATAAAGATTATATAGCAGCATAAAGTAAAAAAAGGTTCATGTAGACAACACATGATCTAGCGTAAAGACTGCTGACTGGCACAGAGCCAACCCATCAAAAAATCTGATACATATTTTTACTGTCACGGTGAATTTATAGCCTGAGATTTTTATATTCCCTTCATAAAAACCCCTTCAAAGTCTGCTTTGTATTTCATCATGCTCAGGAAAGGAAGAATGTCCTCTCACCAAACTGAAGTGAGAATTAATTTAACTGAGCCTCTTCCCTAATCAGAATAATTGAATTGATTCTTCTTTGAGCCAAAACAGCAAAAAAGTAAACTACTGGTATTGCTTTGCTTTACCATGGTCTACAGGCCTCTTTCTGGGATGATTCAGAAGGAATTAAAATGTACAGAAACAATAACAAACGACAATCTCATACGTGTCAACCAGGATCAAACAAAAGGATTAACTGGAAAGTTTCAGGTGGTGACCACAGCTTTGCAAGCAAAAATTGTAAACGTATAGGAGATAAGGGATTTAATTTAAAAGTTGGACATAGCATTTAGCAACAGTTGAGATGTGTTGCATAAATCCCTAGCCACACTGAAAGATAGAGGTCTTTCTCTTTCCATCAGCCAAGATGTCTGTGCAGAAAGAAGAAACACAGAAGCAACAGAAGTTGTTAATGTCTCCGGCACATCATACTCAGCACAAGGTGGCTATAAAACACCCAGTTTTAGTATTTTGAGGCCTTAAGAAGTGTCACAATGTAGAACCACCCTGAACTTATCTCTCAAACAGGACACTGAATGCTCCAAGTTTTCTTATGGATGATGAGCATCCAGAGGCTTTAACAGAATACCTGTCAGATTACCACGGCTCAGTGAGTGTGGACATTTTGCAAAAAGTAGTACTTGCCTTTAAAGGTCTGTCTAAGCAGTGGAGATCTTCCAGCTTTGCAGAGCAGCGTGGGGTTCTGCACAGCAAATACGAATTCGCAAATCCGCTTATCCCTTCCTACAGTTGTCATAAACAGGTGCTACATTAATACAGGCCAGAAACAATTAGTGTCTTTACAATTCTCAATGATATTTACATTTGTCTTTTCTTCTTGGTCTTTTCTGTGACATTCAAAATGTGAAAATTCTTGTATACGCAAGGTAATCAAGTTCACATTTGGGAATGGTACATGAATTCAACATAGTGCCCTGAGGCTCAGGCCTGAAGGAATTTCAACTGTGCAGAGATGGAATATGTGAAGACAGAAATGTGAGGAACATGGCAATGTTGCTATCTGTGAGAATAGATGGGCATTACTGGATTGATAAAAATAGCATAGGGAGGTAGAGGTGCACGTAAAATTATATCATAATATAACAATAGTGATTCACACTGCTTTTGCACAGGTATAAAGAGCTACACAAGCATTGTAGTTGTTCAATGCTGCCACAAAGTCCCCAGATGAAGGCAGCACCAACCAGTATGACTGAGCCAATGTGGGGGAGCAACAATTCTTACTGTATTCTTTCAGTGATTGCCGCAAGATTTCTGGCTGCCACACCTAAATTATTCCTGGAGTACCTGGTGCTCCTCCTCCACCTCCTGCATGGCTGGTTGAAGCTACATCCTGGCCCAAATAGTGCAGCTAGTCCAAACAAGTACAGTAAACAGTCCAAAGCATTCCTGGCACAGTGAAG